TCTATAACTTTGCAAAGAAAGGTGGTGTAGAGCTGGGAGACGTCTCATTTTAATCAGACATTTCCGGGCTACAATTACAACTCATTAAGAAGAGGTTTCAGTTAGTTTTAAAGTTTCTGAAAAACTGGTTTTCCAGAAAACCGGGTCTTCAAGAGCCCTCCGCAGCAACCCATTTAGGTTTTTTGTCAGGTCGATGCCCTCTATCAACCGAGGTATGAACGAAGAAAAACGGAGAGTATCATCTCGGGCGGTTCCTTCGTAAGCGTACAGTTCATGACATTATTTTCCTGGACTCTTTCTCTCAACACAATTGAACACTACCAAAATAATTTGATGATCTTTAACCACGTGATTCATAGTGAAATTTTGTTATTTGACGCAATATGTAGATACATAGTGAAAGCCAATGGAAGTTTCCAAAGTTGACGCCTTTTTATAACTAAAAAGTGGTTGTCAATCAAATTTATGTAGTATAAACAAAATTGTGTTCAAAAATCAAAACTGAGCGATTTGTAGAACCTGACTGATAATCATTATTAGATAGTGTAGTGGTGAATTTATTCAAATTTGTCATGAGGAACGTATTTGTCATGAGATGTATGACTCATGAGATTAGAATAATAAAACGAGATTTTAAAGTGTTTAACTTACAAGATCAACATCTATGTTTATAATATGCATTCTTGACTCTTCACCATCGAGCATAATTGATACCGTGTTATCAGGATCATCCTCTAGAAATAAATGCATACAAATCACAATTAAATAATTTACTTTTACATTCAATTGTATAAGAAACACATAGATCATATTTTGTAGTACTTATGGCTCAAAAACGATATATCTCATTTTTTATTAGCTTTTTAAATAAATCGCATCATCAAGAAAATATAAAGATAGAAGTAGGTGAATCTTTTCTATCATTCAATTTTTGATTGTTGTTTGGTTTTTAACTCAAAATAAAAATATTAATCAGAATTAGATTGATGAAAAATATTAGTATTCATTGTGAGTTTAGTTCTTCAACTATATAAATATTATAAAAAGTTTGTCAGCGTTGCTTCTACGAAACAAAAATGTGAAAATTTTCTATTGAATTGTTGAAACTATACCATAGAACATGGAATAATATATCCTAATAATTTTTAAAACTTGTGTCTAACAACATCAGATCAATAAAACACTGTCTGTTACTAGTCCATTCAGTAGTTGTAAACACCAAATTTATATTGAAATTTTGTTAATCACAATTTCACCCCAAAAGTTTACAGCTACTTAATTATGTGTTTATAGTTATTGACAAAAATTCTCGTATATAAACTTTATACTTCAAACTTCCTTTTCCATCGGAAAATGGACAAGTCCTACAGAGTTTTCATAAAAATCATGTTATTTATGATTGTCATGATAACAGTTGTGTCAACCAAATAACATTAGAATAAATTAGAAGAACAAATAGGTCATTTTTAGCCTATTATCTCGTTTCTTTGATGTCATGATGATCATATTCTTAAAGTCAATGTATTATTAACCATTGTTATTATTAAAAAGCACACTTTGTAAATTACAAGTCATAAGAAACTTCTTCCGAGAAATAAGTATATTTAGATGGAGAAATAAGATGACACATCATTCACAAGATAAAAAATCTATAACATATAAACCGATTTTTTATTATTATTTTTCTATTCATTTGACTGAAACAATTTCATATTAATACAGAGTACTTTTGTTACGTCAAATAAATTTTTCTACTGTAAATATTCCGGAAATGATAAGCGAGTATTATTATTCTATTTTAATCAGCATATTAATATTATCTAGACGGATATCGATCATTATCTGGATGTAAACTATAGGTTTTATATAAGTGTCTATGTTAATTATATAGCATAGATCCCCATAGTCATTTATTTTTGTCCTGTCAATTCTATAACGGAAAATAATTTGTTTTTAAATGGGGAAAAAAGAATGCCGTTGTTGTCTCAAATAGTTTTTTTTTTCTTTTTTTCTTCTTCTTCTTTCGATATTATAATCCAACTTTCGTCGAATGATTAAAATTCATTATTCACTCTAATATATAATATTTTTACGATGACAATATTATGCCTTATAAATCAGACGATCATCCATGCCCGCATATTGTATATAATACCAAGCATAAGGAAACAAATGTCGACATTTAAACACATGGTTGCACATACACACATACACACACTCACATGCGCCTATTTGTAAAATAAACAACAAATATGATAAAAAATACTATTCTATTCTGTCTCTTTATCACTACTGTTAATTATTAATTCACCAAATCCAATAAAATACATGAAAGAATCTATTTGTTATTTTTTTTTTCGCTCTCTCGCTCTATATACCGAGAAATTCAACTAATAATTTGTTACATATTGCCACTAAGTAACACTGTATCGTGTTTGTTATAAAGAAGATAGAAGGAAAACAACAAACAACAAATATATAGATAAAAAATAGATCAATGATTAAATTTGATTGATAGAAATGTCGAACGATGGAGAAAAAAAAAATATTAAAAATTCTGATAGAAGTTTGCTAGATCAACATGATCAATGGAACATCTATGTGTTGATCAAAATGATTTCACATAGTATACGAGTTAATGAAAATGTCTACTTAACGCAAATATATTTCAATTAGACGTTTGTAGGTTTCAATAACACTTCAAAAATATCTTAAATAAAAAACTATTGTCTGATATTGAGAAGCGAAAAAAAAAAATAATAATATTTTACTTAGTTTTCCCGTTTTTGTTAAAAGGTTAAAATTATAATGGATGGTAGAATATTCAATTATTTTTTAAGTATGTCAAACGGAAACATTAATCGAAGCATAAACATTTTTGCGTGCTACTTGGTGTGACGTATAGTTCAACCGGCTATTCATCTGATTAAAGATGTATAAATCATTAAAACATTTGTTAGAAATTTTTACATTTTTACCTCAATTGCTCAACTTTACTAACAAATAAAATATAAAAGGAAATTAATGGAAATTGATAACGTATTCCTAACTTCTATAAAAAAAAAACACAAAAAAAACATGAGCTTACCCACAGAACTTGAATATTCATATATTCCTCTATATTCTGTTGTCTTGAATTGTCTAATAAGACTACGTTTTCCCGTGCCTGATAATCCCATTAGATAAACTTGATAAATTCTTATTTCTTGTACTTGTCCATCTTCTGTTTCAATTGTTTCTACAACGGGTATTTGATCATCATTCGTTACATAGACAAGTGGAAGAAGATCATTTATTATTAATAAATTATTTGAATTATTTTTATTAATATTATTTGTATTTGTATTATTTAATGAATTAGTACTCCCATTCATATTATCAACTAACATTGTATTATTTGTTAGACCATGTATCGATGTACCACTAATTGTCATCATATTTGTTTGACTACCTGATAAACGTTCTTGTGATGGTGAATGATAACTATTTCCAAGACCATCGATCAATGTTCCCGTATCACCATGACTTTGACGAAATGAACTACGTCGACTTATTGAACCACTACGTTTAAATGAACGTTTGAATGAATCACTAAAAAAATTATCATCAAAATATTTAATATTATTTATACTGAAAATAATACTACTAGTACATTATAAATATACTCATATATATATAGAAGACTTGCTGAAATGAAAAATAAAAATAAAATTAATTCTTGATCATTACCCCCGATTAACAAATCCTTTTGATGTTGTATTAAATTGTCTTATGCGGTATATCTCTTCATCTGGTAACTGAAGATGATCGAGTGGTAATGAACCTAATGAAAATAAACAACAATAAAAAGTTATTTGTTTACACCATCCGTCTGAGAAATTGAAAATAAATGTGTATAACGAAAAAATAAGTGAAAAGATTAAAAATCGATTTTAAGACTATTAAATTTTTAGTGATCGAAGCTATTTTATTCAATTACATACCCACACGACTGGATCTCGGTGATTTCGGACTGGACCATTGATCTGCTGGATCATCGGTTGCCATTAGATCAACTGCTGATATTCTTGTTGTACCGACACTTATGGATTTTCTTGTCTGTTGTAGTGAATAATTATTATGAGTTGTTACTGCACTATATTTTCTACTTTTATTCGTAGTACTTCCAACACTATTCTTCTTTTCTAATTGTAAATGTTGTTGTTGTTGTTGTTGTTTAGGTGAAGATGTTTGAAACGGCTGTTGACTCGATCGTTTTTGTCGATATTTTTTAATTGATTGTGGACGTTTATAAGAACAACTTCGAACTAGAGGTGTATCGTTTTGATTATTTGACTGTAAAAATGTTGTATGTGTTAATGAATATTTTTTTCGTCTGGTACGTGCAGATTCTGCCGAGGCAACAGCTGCCGATGGAAATACCTGTTGTGATGGTGGAGATGATGAATAGGTAGCTGTGTCCGTTGGAATGTGATGTGAAAGAACTTTTAATCCAATTGATTGTCGACGATTATTAGAATTTTGTAGTTGTTGTTGTTGTTGTTGTAGTTGTGTAGAGTCAGTAAATGGGGAAAAAAATGACGTGCTATTAGTATTACTATTACTGTTTGCAACGTTTGGCGTACTATAAATACCGGTTGAATAGAGTAACTTATTTTTCTTTAGTTTTTTTTCTTCTTCTCCATCTTGTTCTTCTCTTTTTTCTATTTTTTCTTCGTCAACATCATCGTTCTCATAATAATATCGATGGTTCATATGTGTAACGGGTACGGTGATATGTGAATGTTGTTGTGAAAGATGAGGTTGTGATTGATAATAGAATTGTTCCGCTTGAAATGATGTTCTCGGTGGTGATGTTGAACTATAACATCGAGGATGTGGTGGAGAATTTAGCACAATGCCATTGTCTTTTGTTGTTTTACTACGTTTAAATAATTCGTCAAATTGTGTTGTATCCGTATTTACGGAGACAACAGTAGAAGAATCATCGTAATATGATTTTGATATTGATGTATTATCGTCATAATTTGAAAATCGAACAGTTGTACCAGGCATCGATAAATCATTGTCTATATGATTCGTAATACCATTGTGATATTGATTATTATTACCATCTTCAACTTCATTAATTGTATCATTTATAACGTCATCACCCTTATCATACACTCTAGAAAATAGAAAATAAATAAATATTTGATTATTGGATTCATATATCAAATGGAAATTTTAAAGTTTTGATTTTCTGATGTTAATGTTCATTTAGAGAAATGAGAGTAAATGAGAGAGAGAGAAGACAATATAGCTGTAGTACGTGACTATTCTACTATTATTATTATTGTTATGACGTAAAACGAGAGAGAAAAAATTACAGACATCTCAACCTTGTCGTTGCATTCTATATTACGTGATAAATCAAAGTTATTAGTATGAACGAAGGTTATATATATACATAATCTATTTAACGACTAGTTCTGAAAAAATATTGTTCACAAGTTACCAAAATTTGATGTACTTTTACAGTGCTGATACAATCAATACTATTTTATTTCAGATTATGTTTAATCATCAGTTTTTCTAATATGTTGAGTCTTAAACTTGAAACTTGCTCTTTCTTTAGATAAATGTATATTCGGTGATAAAAAGACTTCTAAGTTCAACTGTTATATACTTTTGTTTTCAAAGTGCTCAAAATTATTTGTTTCTTAAAAAAATATAAAAATATAAACGAAATAGAACGATCCTGTACGAGAGTGATTCCAGTTTTTACAAGATCGCTTGCCATAAAAGATTTTTATCGATTTCTGCATAGTTCTGTCATAATCACAGATTTTATTCAAAATAAATGCAGTACAGAAAAGAATCGTGTTTCTCTAATAATTTAATAAATGAAACTAAATTTAATAATCGTATAATTATTAATATTAGTGTCTATTTCAAATACATTGTGGGTGTGTTCAATTCATTGTTTGACTGTTACGTAATATTCATAACTAATGAAGTTATTGATGAATTTATTAACTTTATGCAAACATTCGAACATTTTCTTGCTAATTTTTTCTTGCTATCATTAGAGTTGTTAAAATTTGCAACACTTTTCGTCATAGCATGTGATATAATGTATTATTGATTGGCACCCAAAGCTGAAGAAGACTAATAAGTTATGTATAATAATAGTTCAAATGACGTCAATCCATTAATTCATCTGTTGAAATTAATTGAAGAAAGAAAAAAAGAATGATTATTTAAATCCAAATGTGTTAAATATAAGTCATGCCAAATGATTCCATACAATTTTTTTATGTTCCATTGATAATTCATTCGTACAAACAAATATATATATATGTGGATAATAATTGACGTACGGTTAAACAAATAAATGTGTTTTCATTACTTTGTGATACATTACAAATACATTTTTATCCAATATTGAACATAAATTATGTTTATAATTGCAAATTAGCAATAAAAATTTAATTGTACATCGACTTTTTGCTGTCTGTACCATTGAGAAATATCTTAAATTTAATATGTCATTTGTGGATATCTTTCACTACCTTTCGTTATTTATACTGATGTCAAACTATTATCAATCATCAATCAACTATTATCATTCAGTTTGTTAAATAAAAACAGTAAAATTAAATATTTAACTACTTCAAAACAAATGATTTGACCACTAAACGAATAAATTATTATTTTATTTAGCTGAAGGCCATATACTCTTCTTCACTCTCCTACTACATATCAAATGGAATCAATTTTGCTGTTGATCAAACGAAACAACGTACAACAACAAAAAGAAAAAAATTTCTAAATCATTTTTGTGTTATTTTTATTGTAATTTTAATATACAGAATTTATTAGCCATCTTACGGGACCATTTCTACTTTTATCTAACGGACTATGCCATTTTCTTGTCAAAAACTTTTTCTTCTTCTTCTTCTTTTGATGTAGAACAAATTGTTTTTCTTCTCTCTCTCTCTCTCTCTCTCTCTCTCTCTCTCTCTCTTATGTATGTATGTATATGTGTTATATTAATCAAATGAATAGTCCTAATATTCTTCATAGTAATACAATCATCAAAAGAAAAGTTATTCATGAGTAATGAACAAAGTTACGTCGATATAATAATCATGTGTAATTACCTTTTTCAAAAAGAATAATACCTTTATACAATGAAGACAAGGTTGAATTCATTTACGCTATTTAAAAATAGATATATATACAGTTCTAAGAAACTATTTTTAACTCATTTTTAGTAGTATAAAATAAATGTTCAGTAAAAAATTCTTGATTTTTTTATAATCAATTTGTTTGAAAAGAACCTATAAATTTGTAAAAATTTTTATTGTCGAGTAGTATATGCGCAAAAAAACATTTTTTCTCTGACTAATAATTGACGTAGATTGATTATTTGAAAATATTTCTCAAATATTAAAAATTTTAAAGTTCATTTAAAAATATTCGTCAAATATTTTGCTAAACAAATATATACTATTATTATATAAATAAAGGCAAATAAATCAAAATGATGTTGCATGTTCAAGTATGTTTTTACAGATCACAAAAACATTGTTCAAATCAACTTTAAAGAAGAAATATAACACGAAAAGCCTGTCAAATTATATTATTAATAAGTAGTGTCTTAAATATCTTGAGGGATAGATAATACAAAAGAAAAGTCATGTTTTATAAGTAATTAAATTATGTGTAAAGAAGAAGAAGAAAAGAAAAAAAAAAGATTTGAGACTATGATTTTTTTTTTTGTTTTGTTTTTTGGTCTATGTCAATGCCAAACGTATGGATAAAATGACAAGATTTTCTTTAAATCTCGCTTAGGAGATAATTGACTTGACGATTATTTGTGTGTTTGTTTAAATCTACGCACAATCATTTTTATGACACGTTGAACGATCATTACATACTGATAGAACAATAAAAACGTTTTGCTACAATTTTCTATGATCTTATAAAAAAATATTAGATAAATATTTGAAAAAGTTCCTTTTTTTTAAAGCAGTCACGTTCTAATCAACATTCAACTGACGTATACTTTGTTTAATCAGTTGTACTATAAGTTGAACTTTTCTATCATGTAAATACAAACCTAAACGTTTCATCTAGTTTTTCTATGATCGTTGAAAAATAGTACAAAACAAGACAGAATTTTTTAGTCCTACAACGGTGTCAAAAATTATTGGTTTTTTCTGAATCAAAGTTTTGAACTGAACAGAAATTTTCACTGTACATTTTTTAGCCAAAATAAAATATATTTTTATATTTGTTTCTATTTAATAATCAGGCTCAGAAAATGTTTACTCTGCACATTTCTACTTTCAACTTTTTAAGAAAATATCTCATTATTATCGAGTTGAACAAACGATTCAATGTAAATAAACTACATGTGTCCATAAGTTTCCGTTTTTGATATAAAACTGTAGATCGAACGGCTTGTCCGCCGGTAACGCGATGACAAATTTTCAGCATCAACGCTTATTTTCTCACACTTGTGAACAAGAATAAAAGTAAATGTTGTACTATTTTACAAATCCTGGCTGGCTTCTATAAGAGATGTAAAAACGTTTGAAGTATGACCTATCGTTCAAATACTGCAGCGTTTATATGGCCGGTAATAGTGGTGACATTTTTAACCATTTTCTGTCATCGTGTTACGGTTTTCTTGATTTTTATTTAATTAATACAGAGGAAATGAGCTAGTTTTGATATTTAAAAACTATTACATCCTGTAGAACAAACAATTTTCTACAATCTGATATACTTGTTGGATTTTCGTCTGCTCGTTTTCACACTTATAAACACATTTTTCAGATAGCTCCAGAATTGATCTTTTGGGCTATTTGTACAACAGTTGGATTTTCATAATGAATCAACTTCCAGAGTCGCGACACTTCTTATTTTAGAGAGAGATGTTTAATCTGTTTAATTATCTATTTGGAATCTTAAATTAGTTTGTATTTTTATTGCAAGAATTTTTTGAAAAAGAGCAAAAAAAGGGTAGTGTCCCATACTAATGAAAAAAGTCGTTCGAGGGATGCCCCGAAAATAGGCCCTCGCCGAGGGCTTGAATCCTCAGAAAATGACACTTCGGATCCTCGATATAAGTTTTCGAGGGGTATCAATTTCGAGCCCTCGGATTTCAGATAGTTAGCGAGCCCTCGAAAAAAATTTCAAGCCATCGAACAGAGATGTTCGGAACTTCTGAGCTTTCGGCGCATCTTCGGGCGACGAGGGCTCCCAAACATCTCACGGCTCGAAATTTTCTCGAGGGCTCGCTAACTATCTGAAATCCGAGGGCTCGAAATTGATACCCCTCGAAAACTTATATCGAGGATCCGAAGTGTCATTTTCCGAGGGTTCGAGCCCTCGGCGAGGGTCTATTTTCGAGTACTCGCCGCACCTCTCAAACAACTGGTTGGGCGTTAGTCGAACAAGCCGTTAAACTACTTCGTTTATAGTCAGTGGCTATAATAATAATAATAATAACACTATCAACGAAAGACACGATATTAAATATTTTTTTTTAACAATAAAACTCATTCGTACTTTATGTACAAAATGCCTGAGGAATCACATTTTATAATATTTCAAAACATAGTCAAGATATTATTATACTGACAATAAGTATCTAATTATCAAGACAAATAAGTAGGTAAAAAAACAAAACAATATTATTGTCATTATTAGAGTGTTGAACTGGCACCTACATGAAAAGATGTTGATAATAATCATAACTTTTCAATGATAATAAATATACTCTCTTAGATAAAATAACATAAAAACGTAACATAATGATTCTAAATCAACTCATTTCGTTCTTTTTTCTTTTTTAAAGTGTTTTACTACCCTCCAGCGTGTACTATTCTAATTATATATTAGATATTTTTTTGGCTAGATTCTATTAAAATTTTCCTATTATCATACAAAAGATAAATGGGATATTTAATCTAAACTAAACTAAAAAGCTTTTTTTTTTGTGTTATTTCTTATTCTCTAAACCAGTTCATATATTTTTTTTACTAAAATAAATTTCAATTCTATTCTTGTATATATAAAAAAACATTTTAGATGTCCATTAAATTTCAAATAAATAAGTAAATGCAAGTCATCACTGTTTTCAATGTAAAAAAAATGAAAAATTTTTATCTCATCAAAATATTACAATTATGATGATCATTTTATCATCTATCTTATTGTACATTAAAACATTTCTCTGTCTCTTACTTATTCAGAATTTGACTAATGTGATAGTCAGTGATGGAATTGTATTTCTATACTTTTTACAATAAATAATCTCTATAGCACAAATGGAGACATCATTTTCCATATATATATTTAAGATTTTTCAGAAAAATCATACTAGTCTTTTAAAAAATAGAAAAAATTTCTATACTAAACAAATTATTGGAAATAAACAACAATAATACTCTAAACTATATCCGAAATTATAAAAATTTAATTAATTTTTTTTTTAAAACTTTAAAGTATCTTAATACTTTACGATGAGTGATCGTTACTGAAGATTGAATCAATGAATTATTTTGGTGATATCTGACGTCAATATTCTCAATTGTGTTAAGAGAAAAGTTATAGAAAAGTAGTCTTGTGAACGGAGTGTGCCCGTGGTAAAGACGAAGTTAAGTTTCCAGGGTTTGAGCTTTTACTATAACTAAATAAGCGGTTGTAAAACAAAAATTTATCTCAATAGTTATTATTATGCCATTTATGTTCGTTTATAGAACTATTAATGATTTTAAACTTAATTTTATTTGTCATTCGGTTTAATATTCTTGAGATATAAAAAACGTCTTTCAATTTATACGGATGAATGTGTCAGAAAAGAAAAACCTTTGTTTTCTAAGAACCTTTGAGAACATTAATATTACAATTTACTCTACAGAATCATAACGATATACTGAATGACATACCATCTGGGTGACAATAAAAAATATGATTAGCTTGAATCATCAATAGTCCGTCTCGATTAACAACTAAATAAAGTTTGATAGACCAACAAGAAAAGATGTTACCTTGAACATTTTGTCATATCAGAAAGATATTCACCAAATAAATTTTTCTTTTATCTTTGTGTATTTTTCTATTAAAATCCTGTAACAAGTATCCGTCAATTTGGTCAATTTGTAAAAGAAGAAAAATTTCTATTAAAAGGATTTGTAGTTTTTTTCAAAATAAAATTTGTCAAAGAAATATTTTTGTTTTTGATATTATGAAACGTCTCCAAAGTCTAAATAACTTCAGTCTATATGAGAAGCGTTAGGAGAATTTATAGAGATGAAAATTAAGAGAACGAGTTTGAAACTATGATTAGATTCGTACCCTTGCATAACGTTTTCCGCTTAGACGAAAGAAGTTAGAATTCAAACTTCAGAAATATTTCATAAAATTTACGAAACATTACTCAACAAATTCTATTTTGGAAAAAAAACCATACGCCTATTCTCTTTCTAATAAAACCTTTTTATTATTAATTGACTGAGTTTATGGGGTAAACAGATTTTTACTTTTCTTTAGTCAAAATATCCTTTTGATAATAAAAAACATGACATCAAACCGAAATTTTTTCCCCAATATCATATTGTTTTTAATTGAAAAAACAATGTTCACGTTAATAAAATATAAATTTATCTAAAAAATCAGTTACTTTTATAAAATTTAATAGTGAATATAGAAGAATGCATATTTTTCGCATATACCCTGAATGTACTAGATATAAAGAAAGACTTTTGTATAGTTTTGAGTAAGTTGCAAGGATAGAAATTCATTACACTAGAAGATTCATTTACGAAACATGTGTTAGAATGACAAATTTCCTTTTTCTCTTACAATCTCTGTGTAAAACGCAATATTTTTCACGTTAGAATGGAATCGTATAGATATTTAGATGCATGTGTAAAAATAGCGAAAAATCTTTCTAAAAAGATTAATTTTGACGATATTTTCCTATATTAAATCATTTTATAGATTATTTTTTTAATGCAAATTTTCTCAATGTTCGAAGGACGACAAAATAAAAATATATATATATATATCACACTTTATGATCTACTAATGAAACTTAATATATATGTTAGTTCTCACGTCATCGTTACCACTGTGAACGACCGAGGGAGTTTAAGCAACAAATCAACTTTTAAAAGATGTAAAAGATGTTTTATAACGTTAATCAGCATTCTTTTTCTTTTTTTATATCTCATACGAATATTTAGCATAAGAAAAAAAAACATTCTCATTGCACTTATTAAGCAAAGTTATTCAATTTTTCGTACGTATAGCATTGACTATCTCTTTGAGTGATATAGTATTTGACTTTCTTTTTTCATGTTAGTTTAATATAAACTTAAGATCTATGATCAAATGAACACAATTTCTTGCCTTAAAATCACATTCAGTTCTTATCAAAAATGAAGAATAGTTCTAATTAATGAGAGAACTGATGATTCTATTTGTATAATCTTTTTTGTTTTTTCTATTTAAAATATCTGTATACCTTATAAATTTTACTTTTTTTCTTGATCTCTGTCTCTGTTGTTGTGAACGATCTGTCAATAAAATATTTGTTGTTGTGATTGCTGGTGTTGTTGCTGAATACATTGTAAAAAAAATATTAATAACATATAACACGGATAATTACTAATGAGTACATTGGTTTTTATTTTTAAAGAAAAAATAATGAAAATAATGGTGAGTAGTAAAACATATTAAAAATAGATCAACATATAAAACATGGATAATTACTAATGAGTACACTAGTTAGTAGTAAAGAAAAAAATAATGAAAATAATGGCGAGTAGTAAAACATATCAAAAATAGATCAAAATACACACATGTATTATGTATTCTCAATGTCTACAACAAAGTGATCTGTTTCTTTTTTTTCTTTGTTGAACACCAGAAGAGAAGGAAAAGATACAGGGAGAAGGAGACAAAAAAAGAAAACGGTTTTCTGTTTTCTTTCTTTTTCTCACTCTCTCTCTCTTCGCTTGTATATACATGTTTTCTGGAACAAGAGAAAAATGAAGATTGAACTTTTTTCTCTTTGTCAAAGGAATCGATACACATTAGAAAACAAAGTTTTTTTAATGTTTTCCTCTATCTATGTATCAAATAGGGATGTTTATTTGGGAAAACACTTTTTTTGTGTGTATGTGTTTCCAATAGGGAAAAAGAAAAAAAAAAAGAAGAAGAAAATCTGTGCCTATGTTTCGCTCTATACAACCATTAACAGAGATAGATTAAGTTAAGATTGAATGTGAATGATATCCCGGAAACAAACCGACATTTCGATACATTATTTTAAATATATAAAATACTTTTATCATATATTGAAAAAGAAAACGATAGAAGAACAAAAGCATCAACATTTAATTGACTTATTATTACTGCCACATCAAAAAATCTCTTCAAGGTATACATCATAAAAAAAAAGTGTTTCTAATGAGCTGGTAGTGCACCATATTTTTTTCATTAGTAACATTTAACATTTTAAACTGTTTTCATCTTCAAGATTAACTTTTATTTGTTCTTCTTCTATCTAATTTTATTCTAAATATACCTCTAAATTTTATTTTATTTTATTTTATTCTTTTGTATCTCTATGTAGTCATAATTCAATTGAACAAATGACATTAATAAAACTAGTAAAACTTATTTCCGATCTGTTATGCAAATAGAAACTGTTCAATTTGTTTTGTTTGGTAATTATAATAATGTACCAGACTTTTCATTTGCATAGTGAAGTATGTCTTATCTGCTAGAAAGGCAAAATGAACAGACATATGTACCAAAAAAAAAAAAAAAAATGTTCGATCTGAAAAATTTTTCTATTTACTAAGTTTTCAGCTATATAAATCTTATCAGAAATCTTCAAATTTTTTATTTCACAAAAACAATCAGATTCTATATCTTTTTTTAGATTATGTGTATAATCCTCGTATGTCTAAGTATTTGATTGGTTTATTACGAATAGTAGTAGTATTTAGCAATCTCTCAAGTCATTATTTCGTCTCGTTCTCAAATCACTTAAGACTTTTTTTATTTTTTTATTTTTCCTATAGAGAAAGAAGAATGCTCTTCAACATTTGTATACAGGAAAGATACTTTTTCTTTTATTTATTTCTTGTTAAAAGTAGTAGAGAAAAGTGAAGAGAGTGACTGATTATATACAGTTAAACAAAATTTCTACATAACATTTTATTTATTTATATTCTTATATATCGCTCTAACAAATGATGCTAATTATCAGTATTTTCTATTTACATAGTAGAGCAAAGAAAATTCAACAAAACTGTATACTATATTTAAAATAGAAAACATATAAATTTACAATTACCAAAATTAATAACTAAAATAAATTATAAAATCATAGTGCATTTTTCTAACAGTAGATTACAGTATGTTTTTTTAATATAAAGTAAAATTTCATTCTATTGAAGTGAACATCTATATCTTGTTCAAATAAGTGACTATTAGTCTTATAATAGAATCATTCGTATCAAAATATTTCAAAGACTACATTGAATACATTCTTTTTTTTTTTATAAAATCAGTTTTCGAACGACTTACTTAAAAATCATAAGATTTTATGAGGACAAAAAAAACTTAAATACTGAAAACTCAGTTTATTATTTGATAAACACAAATTTTCAGCCTAATAACTATTACGTGCCGATAGTCACATTTTCTTCTATTCGTCATAATATTATTAGTTAATACAATAGTGAAAAAACTACTTACGGAACAAAATTAGTTTTTTTTACTTATTTTTAGATATAATATTTGACGATAAATTAAAAAGAAAAAGAATAAGAAAAAGAATTTATTTCAGCCTAAGCTCTTAATTCATTGCACTTCAATAATTATCTCAGACAAAAAATTTATACTACCATTGCGTAAAATTTTCATAGAAAAAGAAACATCATTAGAACAAAATATTGAATATTAAAATAATAACAGGACAATAAATTAGCCTTCCACATTGACATATGTGTTGAAAAAGAAACACGCCCATTATTACTAAATTATAGAAATACAACATTCTATAGCGGGTGTAATACGTACATAATCCAGTCAACAAGAAATATCTGATCATATTTGAAGACAGATTATATCGCTAACCAATTAAGATTAAGTTAGATGATATAGTGTGTTGTTGTTGTTGTTGTTGTTTTTATTCATTATTTATCCAGGTCAAGAGTGCACCTATTTTAGACCTATGAGCTCTTGTTTATATAGTCTAACTAACTTTTGTGATCAGTATAATACATCAATTATTCTACCAGGAGTTTATTTTTCTATAATATACATTAAATATATGATTTATAATGGTAAGAGTAATGCATATATTATTTTTTCACATACATATGTTTAACAATCACAGTAAATGAACAATATTTTTTCTTTTAATTCAATTTGTGTATTATAACAAATGGTTGTTGTCATCTATGCATGGTGTATGTTCACATACTGACAAAAAAAAGAAGTTCATCTACTGATAAAAGAAAATAAGACAGCCTAGATTCAGTCAACTGTTTTCGACTATTAGAGGTTGAATTGAACATATTCATCAACTCCCATTCATTACATCCCATTCTTATTATCTACGCTTAAGTAGAAATGTAACAGGAATTTCGGTGATGTGCAATAACCATACAATACTCTAGTTTAAACATATCTTACCTCCGATTAATATGTAAAAATAAACGTATAAACTCAATAAAATGATGGATTATTTGACGCTCTACTTCTTCCAGTTTGTATTAGTAAAGTTCATTCAATAGTCAATCAAAAAAATGAAAAAAACAGTAGATTATTGTGCGCTTTGTATCCTGAATAATCTCATCCGATAATTCTAGCATCAATGATACATATACACTAGAGTCATAGCTCATTAAAACAACGTTAATAGTATCCTTCATCCTCACTTACATAGCTCTCATTCTTTTAAAAAAGTTGATTAACGTGAGGAGACTGTTGTGATGGCGGTATTTCTACATAAATATCAATTAGAAATTTTAAAACTTTTTATATTTTATCTTTTTAACCCCATGTAGACGATATTTTAATTGTCGTCTTAATATTTCCTGTAATTCAACTTGTTCATGATGTAATCGAATGGATTTTTCACGTTCAACAAAATAATCAAACTTCACGTTTACTGATTTCCTGTTGAGATATTGCGTAAATTTTTCTGTCCATAATTGATCAGAATCAACATAAACATATTCCGAAATCTTATTTTTACACCATTCTGTATTTCGAATGAATAATGAACTATGTAATGGTGATTCATTACACAGGAATCGGGAACGATGAATAATTGATGTAGGATCTCGGTTCCACTCCCCCATTATACATTTCGCTGGAAATATAGAAACTTTGAAGTACCAATTATAGAAAATGAATATCAACAAGTATTACAACCGTTCAATCACCAAGCGTATTACTAACCGAAGGCCGTAAATGAGTTACGGAGAAGAATAGAAATGAATCATCAATTACTAATGCTCGTTTGCCATGAATCATCAGTTCGATAGCATACTTATTACGTTATGACGTATAATATAATTTTAGTAATTTGTCAGAAAGCTATTACGTGCGTATAAAGTGTCAGCAACTGAGCGAAAGAAGTACATCAGACCTCGTTCTGACCAGACCGAATTATGGAATAACACTTATGTGAAAAAGACGAAAGAGCTGTGGTTCTCGCCATCTGAAAGTCGAAACTTGCAATTATCGTTTCTTACGTTTCTCACAATATCTTTTCAGACGATCATTGTAGAATTAGATTACAGCATTCCTTGAAGTTGATGTACAAGTTCCTAGTAATTTTCTGTTATAGACAGATAGTATAGAGTGTTCTCTTCAAAACGGAAAGTAGATGAGCTCTTGATTATTCACTGTCAAGGTGTAGCATCATATTCCCTAGAAGTCACAAGATTGCTATTTCACCACTTTCGATAAGTTAGAACGTAGTCACAAGCAAAAGTTAATGAAACTACTGTTTTGGGTGAATTCATCTCTTATTGAAAACTCAAAATCAGTTCGAATGACTCAGACACTGATGGGATACACAGTTTTACAGACTGAATGTGGTTTTATTGCTTCAAGGATAAAAAATCTTCGAAAACTACGTTATTATCTGGATCTATTTTTTCCGAAAAAATGAAAATAGATTGTTTTTAAATTACAAGGAACTTTTAAAATTATTTTCAGTCTGTAAAACTGTGTATCCCATCAGTGTCTGAGTCATTCGAACTGATTTTGAGTGATTTATGGAATTTTTCAATAAGAGATGAATTCACCCAAAACAGTAGTTTCATTAACTTTTGCTTGTGACTACGTTCTAACTTATCGAAAGTGGTGAAATAGCAATCTTGTGACTTCTAGGGAATATGATGCTACACCTTGACAGTGAATAATCAAGAGCTCATCTACTTTCCGTTTTGAAGAGAACACTCTATACTATCTGTCTATAAAAGAAAATTACTAGGAACTTGTACGTCAACTTCAAGGAATGCTGTAATCTGATTCTACAATGATCGTCTGAAAAGATATTGTGAGAAACGTAAGAAACGATAATTGCAACTTTTTTCTTCTAGCTTGTCTATTAAAACTAAATAACGAATACCCATAAATGACTCTGATATTGATTCTAATTCTTTACATAAACGAGTAAGAGTAATAATTCTCTGTAATTTATCCAGTTTACGTTTTAATTCATCTTTTGTTCTTGTTGTTTGACGTAATAATCGTTTATGAACTTGAAAGCGAGAATTTCTAAGACCATTGTTAAACTTTTGAATACATTTAAGAGCTGATAATGTTTTAACTTGATTTTCTTGATGTTTCTTTTGAATTTGATCTAATTGTCTCATTGTTTCATTAATATAGTTTATTTTCTTTAAGACAATTTGATGATAATTATAAACCTTTAGATAAAGAAGAATAACACCATAATAAGATCGTGATACCAAAATGAATCTGAGAAGAAAGTTTCATCTCACTTTTTCTCAAAAACTTGTACTCTGTTTGTTACCTCTTCGATTGTTTTTGATTTTTGTTCCACATTTTTCTTTAATTTCCAGTAGTCACATTGTTTTCTAACGAAAAATGTTTTAGTTTTCAAAATATAATTAAATTGTCTTATTATCGATTGTATTTTATTTCTTGAAAAATATTCAAGTTTTATCACTTGTTTGTTCTTTAAATGATCATTAGTCATTCGTTGTTTATTGAATTTTTCGATTTGTTTATGATGATCACTTTCAATTTCTTTTATTAATATAAATAATTGAACATTCAATTCTTGAATTTCTGGTTCAAATATCTGATGAATTTTTGTTATTTCCATATGATATTGATCACGAATTAAATTTACTTTCATACTGTAATTCTTTTCATAATCAAGAATATATTTGTAATAAATGCTAAGAAAAACATAATTTAACATGAAAAAAACAACAACATACAGTACGATTGGAAGTCTAAAATGTGCCATGTATCAGGGATATCTTTGAAAATAGTTAGTGTACAAAGTGTCATCTTTAGTCGTTTGTGAGAAAAGAGGAAATTGATTAAATTTTTAGAGAATTTTAATGACTCTTTTATTTCATCGGAATAGTAAAGCAAAAAGTTCAGAAACTATTATGAAAAGAGTGTTGAAAATTGAACAAAAATAATAAAAAAATCTTCTAGAAGTCGATTAACTAAAGATTCAAGAATTCCGGATTATGGTACGTTTAAAAAATCTGATCACAACTGAAACAGTATCAGATATTTGATAATAGCTGTATGATTCTCGACAAAACACTATTAAACTTCTTGTAAAATCTGTAAATAATTGTGATAGTAGAGAGAAGAAGACGAAATCAATTTTTTTATATGTGATAATTCAATTTCATTCTCAAAAAAAAACAAAAAAAAAACAAAACTGTAATTCACATAAGAAGACAATTCCATTTAATCATTTTTTTATGAAATTTTTCATATATTACTTGATAATTTTATCTAATGTTTGTTTCATCATTTTGTCAATATATTCTTGTATTTGATCGTTTAATTGTTCACATCGTAAATTTAAAATATTTGTTTTATGTAAGAAGTTTCTATTTATTAAATCAATTGTATTATTTTTCACATAGTTAGATGAAAATAAATATTGATATTTAATTGTAAAAGATTGATTAATAGATGTCAAATAATATGTTTCTTGTTGAACTTTCGAATGTAAATAAGTGTTGAGTGTTTGATTTTTTAATAATGATGATAGAGACATATACAATCGTTTATCAACAACATGTTTTCTATTATAACAATTAATTAACGATACGTTAGATGATAATCGTTTTTTCTTCGATTTTTTTCTCATTTTTTTTGTATCCATTTTGACTTTGAATATATTACGCATTAAACCGGCTGATCGTATTAATACCATTGCTTTTTTTTCTCCTTATTTTGAACAATTATTTATAAATAATGACTCAAGATATTTTTAAATAATTTAACTACCATGACGACCATCAATACTCATTTGTAAAATTATTACAACATTTGAATTTACAAATCAATATCAAAAGTCACAAAACTTATTAAAATTCAGAAATTTGATAGTCTCTTTTTGACATTTTTCTAGTAAAAACTGACCACATAACTTGTGCAACTTGAATTACGCAGAACTAGTAGAAAATTTGTCTCATCGATCAATTTAACCCTTTAAGTCCCCAAGGCTTCAATGCTTGATTTTGGGTCAACCGCTTATGAAAATGGAACATATGAGACCTCGATATGACTTTTTCACGCTCGAAAAAAATTACTTTTCATTTTATAAAAAGTTATAATTTAAATTTACAATGAAAATTAGAGGAAAATTATTTTTTCGAAAATTCTCGTCAGAAATCAAAGACCAAAGGTATCTAAATTTAGGCCATTATGTTTGATGAAGTTGAGATAGAAAATGAGCTGAGATGGTGAAGAAGATCAAGAATGATTAAGAAACAGAGCCCGAAATCCCAGCAAAATATGCCCTTTCGTTTTGTACCATCAGCAGCCTACACTTTCCAACAATAAATTATTCAGCTGACATAATTTGAAAGAACACATCTCCCTACATATTTTTGAAAAGTCATTGAACAAACAGCCTTTTCTAAAGTACCTGAAAAAAGTATTGTAAAAAAAGTGAATTTTTTCTAAATCTTCATTTTAATATTTTAATATCTCAGCTAACATACAACATAAACAAATTTTCTTTTTACCATTCGATAGCCAATTTGATTCTCTACGACTGATATAAGATCAGTCTTTTCCAACAATGTTTCCTTAGTTTGTTATAATGATAATGGCAATGTCCATTCAAATCGGCATTGGGCTTTAGAGGGTTAATATCAATGAACAAAAGGCTGAAGAACCTTTAAAGTAATCTAGCATTCGAACAACATGAGACTACTAACAAATTTATTTAAAAACTGATACAAAGAACGTAAAACGTCTACTTCTTTAACATTTTTCTACGATAACATAATCATTTTAAGTAGAATTATAAAATTTTGGACAAGCGTTGTTGTATACTGTCTTAAAGTTTTCTTCAAAATTAAAAAAAATTTTTTTCTTAAAAACATATACTAAAATCATCTGAATTTTAATTTAAATCAGATGGATAGTAAAAATCTTCCTTTATAGAATTATTTTATTTCATTCACGACATACATTTGAAATACAAAATGAACTTGTTGTAATTGAAGCTTTTCATTTATATAGAATATGTTTTAATATGAAGTTGGTAAAGATAATTACTAACTCTTACAACTTTGACAATTCAACGAAGGTGATCAAAGTCATCTTTACACTTCGTTAACATTCTCGTTTGAAAGTAATAGCGTTAGACTTACTTACCTTTGCAAAGTACTCATTATTTATATTATATCTTTCAATAACATGCTCATACGTATTATGATATTTTTTCAAGTATTTTTATCTTTTATCTTCAATTGGTGTGAATTCATTGAGAAAAAAAAAAGCTTTTTCCTTATAGATTCTAATAACCGTTTTTAATCAGCGGTTGTTCGTGATATATACTCCATTACGTCAAACGGATATAGTCTTTGTATTCAGTTCGTTAAGAATTTCTGCAAATAGCATAAAAAAATCACATTTAAAAAATATTTTTTTACTTTAATGTTCGTGTTCAATGAAAAATTGCTTCCTGTTTCCGAAAAATTATCATTCATACACATCCTTGGAGAATCGGAAGATGTCTGAAATAATCAGTTTTTTTTTCTTCGACAAATTATTCTTTTTTGATCACGCACAATATTCTTGTACTTTTTAAATGGATCATCACCCATTAGTGGTCATACTGGTGATGAAATCGAACTAAGTAAAAAAGAAATAGAATGTTGAACTCTCTACACTCAGATTTACAAAAAAACGTTTATAATACTCATAGACCCGAAGTGGTTACATCTACTTAGTCGAACGATTGATTCTCAAAGAATGAAATACTTTTGTTTTCTAATTCTGAGATACTGATATAAAGTTTACACCCACTGTTCTATTAGAAAAACATAGAAAATCTCTTGCTCTTCAGAAAATCTAAAGAGTTCTTAGTCAAAAGCATAATTTCCGAGTCGAGAAAAATGACGAAGTGTAAAGTCGTACAGAAGATCGTATCACAATTTTACATAAACAATACTGACGTCGTTCTTTAAAAAATAAATGTGAACGAGAGAATTCTCAAAAACAGAATTTACGAGAGCGAAAGGTTTTTGCAAAAAAAATTTCTAAAGCTAATAAAATTTTAAAAGTTGTCCTTAAAAACGTTTTACGTGTTTCAGTAAACAAACAGTTTTCGATGTCCATTTTTAAAAATTATTTTCCATTCTTTCAAATATCAAAGAAAAGAGTTCAGAATAAATTCTAAGAGATTTTATGCGATGATATTTTCCTAAATTCATTTTCAAAAACATGTTTTTTAAGAGCTTTTTTTATAGACTGGTCAGATTATGAGCAATATGTTTAAGTGTATAGAAATCAAAAAATTCGAAGGTGGCCAAAACTGTTGAGAGAATTTGAAAACTGGTGCAATCTTCTGATCTGAGGTTCAAGTGTCAGTAAAAATTTTCCATCAGCGTCCAAATACAAAAGTTGATATGTGAAAACTGGTCTAATTAGGAGATTTAGTGAGTTGTGTGTAATAATAGAGAGATACATATGAATGATTTAAAGATAGAACATACTATCCCAACATTTAGTATAGCAACTTCATTTTATCATCATGTAACGTATCATTCTACACAAAAATAAAGTAAAAGACAAAAAAAGAAACAAATGAGACAAAATAAAATCGATACGATTGGAATACAACTCAACTACTGTTGTCTGCCAAGTTGAACGTATTACCACAATAGAATCTTATACATGAGTTTACTCTGATAGGAATTTTCCAAGAACATAAGAAGACGATGACAATTTATCATTATTTTAATCTAATCCCCTTAGTCCGATGTTTGTCGTTTTCGTTAAATAATACAATTCAATTCACTATCGATTGCTATCATCCATCTTTCGTTATGAAAAATTTAGTATTGATGTATGATTTAGTCTTTGACAAAAGAATATTTTCAATTAAATTAATGATACTTGGAAAAAATTTAATTTTTTTTTTTGTTTTTTCGCTTTCTTAATTGAAAGTGATTTGACAGAACAAAACGTCGTTACTGAGTCAACCCTATTACTATAACATCTTTTTGTTTTTGTCTAAAATTATGAGCGACGTTTGTAATCTATTCTTCTAACATATTTGTTTACATAGAGACAAAAGCAAACTACTGATACATGAAAAAATACAAAATAATTACTGATAATAATTAAAAAATAAAATTATTCATTTTTATCCTTATTTATTGTTTATTCTCGTTTGTTCATAAATAACTCAATTATCATTTTTTCTTTTTCTTATAATAATATCCATATAGAAAATAGCGAAACTTTGTTTATTCTGTATCTCTTATTGAATATATTTCTGTTGCTTATTTTCTTCTTTTTTTTTTTTTTGTTGTTTTTTTTCTATACATACACGAGGACGATGACATCAATAACAACAACATCATTATCAAGAAAGGGAAAGAAAAAAAGATCAGACAACGATATCAGTTATAAAGTGTTAAGAATCAAACAAAAAAAATTCTTATAGCTACACAGATGACATGTTGAAGTGTGTTTAACATACCGTATATCTATTTCGCTTTGTCATATATCGTCAAAAATATATAGTAGCAGCAGCGTCATGAGCAGAAGTCCGTAAAAAACAAGAGAACTGAAAGAAAATAATACATTACTTGAATCAATCAACAAGTCATCAGTAATGATTAAAAGAAATATCTAGGAAATATATTAAAAAGATTCAGAGAGAGAGAGAGAGAGAGAGAGAAAAGTTAGTTTCTAATATTAGGGAAAGAAAAAGTAAAATCAATTTTTATCAATTATTGATTAATAATTCCGTATATTTTTATTTTTTCTAAAAATTCATCACAAATATTCGAAAAAAAAGTCGGCATTAAACATAAAAATGAATAATTTAATTAAGAGAACAAGAGAGAGAGAGAGAGAAAGAGAGAAAGAGAGAAAGAGAGAGAAGAAAAAGACATGCATAATTGGCAGGTGACAAAAAAAGCAAAAAAAAGAGACAACAATATATTGGTTGTTTTTCCGAGAAAAAAAATATATATCTTCGTTACAATGTTTGAACAAATAAAAAGAAAAAAAAAGACAAAAACGCTTCACTAAGATTTGTCCTTGTAAAATTTGATGATTTTAAAGTGTTGTTTTTATCATATAATTGAGATATTCGATCATACATGCATGCATGAACGTATTACAATGAAATTTGACAAGAAAATTCAACTCAAGACATTGATCAAATAATTCATATTTTTGACATTATTAAATAATTCTATACTTGCTCAATATATGATGTTCTTAAAACATTTTTTTTTTTTCATCATCAATAAAACTGTATCATTTACTTGATTTATTCTTATCAATTAGATTCTAAATAGTAGTTAAAACGGAAAATAGTATAAAAAACTTTACACTGTGTCAAGAGCACATTATATAGTGTGATAGAAAAAACGGTAACTTCATATTCTATTAATGTAATTTATAGAAAAGTTTTCTCTTCTTTCTTTTTTTTTTTTTTATTTTTAAATTTAGAACACATTATTCAATAGTTTATCTACAAACATCTCATGTCAATAATATATTCCATTTGTTAAATAATCAGAAAGCAAGTTATTGTTTTCTTTTTGAAATAAAACTCGACATTTTTTTTTCTTTTTTTCTTCTTTAATCTACATGATGTAAAAAAAAAAAATTTATTATTTGTTTTTGTTCAGTGCAGCAATTCTATATACTTAATTCCTTTAGCGAATAGTTTGCGTG